AGGATAGAATGGTTCCAGTCGGACTAAAGGATAGAGGCGAATAGGTCCCTATAGCCTTTGGTACTAGTGCGCCACCGCCAAGGTTTCAAAACGGAGAAGAGTTAGCAGTATTTGGAAATGATGCTTGACTTACCCTGGGAAGAGCTTCAATTACCAGGAGGACCCTTTTCGAAATCTACAAGCTGCGTGTTTGGGAAGGAAATAGACAGTAACGACTTTATTTCCTCCAAATTTAAACGTTTACATAATTTACCCTTGAAAATCGGTGATGGGCAAGACAACCTTATTTCTAGTGGAACATAGTTCCAAATAAAACATGCTTGAAGGGAAAAACTAGAACGGTTATACGTGGAGCTAAGGGGTGGTGAAATTATCACGGAGGGGTTATGACTGGCGTTATGTCGGTTTACCGGAGTAAAAGCGTTAATTTGTGGGAGATTAGACTTATCTTTAACGCAAAACGGGAAGCATATACCAGCTGTGGATCTTTTTACTCAAAAAATTTTGTTTGCTAACTGACATCTATCTTTATGAGAAATACTGGACCCAGAAAGAGAAAGAAGTTTGCGAGTAGAAACTCTCTGATCCTTTGCAATCTTACTACGGTCAGTCGCGTTCATAAGGCCAAAAGGGAGACAGCAGTATTCTAGGATAGAGAGAATAAACATGCGATAGAGTTTTAACTTTATTTCCGGAAGGAAAAGAAGTATGTGATATAAACCCACATATCTGTGCGGCCTCGGCAGAAATTCGATCTGCATGAGCGATAACGCAAGCTTATTCGTGTAAGTCAGACCCAAATCCTCTATCGTAGATGGTTCTAAAAGCGGACTATTTTGGAAGATGACGGGTCAAGGAAACTCTGTGGGACCAAAACACATGAAACTACATTGGGATGGAAAAAACTTCATCTGTCATGTGGCGTTCCAAAATGAGAGCGTACGCAAGTCTGTGTTGACTTTATCAACACAACTACTGGCCACGTCCTTAGAAAATGAGTAAACGCAGTTAACTTATGGAGTAATGTGGAAATTTCCCTTAAGTGAAGAATGAAAATGAGGGGACCTAAAACCATGCCTCGAAAAACGCCGCTCGTGGTTAGCTTGAGACGTCGAGTAGCTATTGCCTACTAAGACTTTTTGGCTGCGGTTATACAAGTGGGAACCAATAAAATCAGGAAGAGGAAGCTGGATGTCTAGGGCTTCTAGATCCACTAGAAGACATATATGCGACACCTTATCAAAAGTTTTGCAAAGGTCAAAGTAGTTCACAACGGCTAATTACTGCTCATAACGAAGTGAAGTAACGAGGCTAAGAAAAGCCAATTGACAGGTTTCGCATGATCTTCCAGGTAGAAATCCATTCTGTGAGGCGCTTAATAGCTTCTTTTCTATGCAAAAGTCAAGAATTTGATTTAAAATATTTTTTCAAGTTGTTTTGCTAGAGGCGGGGTTTTGTTTTTCTCTCGGAACTGTAAAAGACTTGACTCCCTTGTTCATTTAGTCACCACTGAATCTTTTGATAGACAAAACCGGAACCATATTTTTCTTTTAAAAATGCCCACACGTACAGACGCCCAACTGATGTTGCCACGGCCTTTCTATGCTCGGGTGGGTTCGACTACAACATTGCGGAAGCAAAACGCGTCCAATCGCGAAGCAAGAATCTGCCCCTCTTAATTAAATTGTTTTTACCAATTGAGGTGGACTCAATCTTCGCGCAACAAATTCGCATCTCTCGCTATTTGAAAATGACTAAATATTTCCGCTTATACCAATGGATCGAATAAATATGTATATCCTGTCAAGTAGACCAATGAGTTATGAGCCTACTACTAATAAGACTGGTGATAGTCGCACTAACATCAATGCACCGGTTAATGCATCTCACTGATATCGTGTCCTAACGTTCCCTCCACTTCACGATCTACTGCGTTTCCAATTAGTCCAAGAACGTCATCTGTCCAACTATCGATAAATTGCATTGTCCTTAACTCTGCCACAAGCCCATCACTAATGTCGGCATCCCCGTCCAAAACGTTAAGACCAACCACTTTTCCACTTAAACGTAGTTCTATATGCCACCACATGAATTCTCCCAAGCCGAACCACGAAAATAGCGTGTTTCAAATACAAAATCCGCTCTTAGCCCACTTCAAAAACAAGCTATTAAAATCACCACAACCTGGCTCCTCCCTTAACCTAACGAGTCATTATTCCCCATATACTGCATTATTTACACCGCCTGGCAACAACTACAGAAACTTTGCTTCACCTGCCAATGACGATGAAATGAATAGCATAAATCCAATCTGAGTCGCAGATCAGGATGTTCCCTGGTTTGAGCCACTAGTTCTTACGTAAATGTCCGCAACACTGATTTCATATCATAGTTTGCCCCTACCAGTTCCTTGACCCAATCCCCCAAACCTTTACAGGCTTTCCTGCATTCCCCCACCCTTCCTTAAGCTTACTTCGTTTAATCATCTCCTCATTTTCCCATGCCAGAAAACGGGATTCCTGGATATGTCAAACCTTATCAGCTACCCATTATCAGCTATCCATATAGAAATAGCTCTATAGTCTTCAGTAATTATTTCACAAATAATGCTGGCCTACAGTCTAACCATTCACCTCCAACTGCTTTTTATGAATCACGGTAGCCATAATCACGCTACTCAAAATACACTTGATGTCATAGTGTTTAAATACTAAAGCCATTGCTTTCAAGATGACGCTCGAAGTTATATGCATAACAGAATCTTGGAACCAACGAATCATCACAGACTCCTCCATTATCATGGCAAAGCATGATCTCCACCGTAATGATCGCCATAGTGAGCGTGGTGGTGGTTGGCTTCTCTATATTAGAAGGTCCTTCAAACACTTTCCGTTTTATCCAAATGGCACGTCCTTCTCTGAAAATTACTGCTTTGCTCCTATTATCGTGTCGCCCCTGTAAAAGGCAATTTTCGGATCCATATATAATCCTAATAACTCATTACCTGAAAGAGATGCAAATCTTTGTGAATTATTTAAATTAATTTCAGAGTCCGCTTTCGAAGTTAAAATTATCGCTGAAGATTTTAATTTTCCCGAAATAAACTGGCTTTTAAACATGTGTCTACATTTATTTCAGCCTTTCCTAGATAGCATTATTTTTGCTAACTGGTCTCAGCTGGACCGCTCCCAACAAGACACAATCATATTTTAGATCTGATTTTCATAAACGGCATTGCTCCGCCCTTCGTTGATTTTAAGCAGGCCATCTTCAAATGTGACCATACAGTAATTCACTGTTTGTTTACGCTGCTTTCTGCAAAAAAGGCTACTGCCGTTCATACCTACCATGCTCCTTGATTTATTGGATTGATAGTCTCTCATCCATGAACGACGCTGCATGTCTTTTGAATTAATGCCGGTCGTTTCTAATAAAATGCTGGGATTGTGCCAAATAAAATTGCCGAATTCTTAACTTCAGGATCCACCGCCCCTCACTTTCTTTTGCCAAGAATACAGAAATTGAGGAGACAGTTGAAAGACCGATTCAGAAGTTCGTTGTCTTGAGAGACAGAGGGAATCATTCGCATTTAAAGAGCTAAACTCTATAAAATTTGCTGCTGAACTTTTGTGTCATCGGTCGTCCTCGGACGAGGCCTTCCGGGCCTAAAATATAAAATTTATTTATTTATTATTTAAAAGAGTTCACGAAATTCCTCCGCTACTAAATGAAGATAAAAACCTCGTTCTCGAAGGTACGGACAAGGCTGGACTGTTTAGTGCATTATTTACAAAACGTCCTACGACTGAATCTGAACGGTTTCTCTAGTTTCAACCGTAATCAGACAACATTCTTGGTACCAGTGATTTCTCCGTTGAATTGATTCTTAAGAGTATAACTTGCCTATAACCTCATAACATTCAGGGACTGACGGTATTACAATCTCAGTTATCAGGAAAATATTGAGCTTTGCCTGATTGCTTAGTCATATATTCTCAGTCTATCTCTTAAACGGATTCTTTCCTGACACATGGAGGACATCTATTATTCTTCTTCCTGTCACTAATGGCGTCGTCTTGAGCTACAAATGCATAGAACACGGACTGGAGATGCCCACGCTTATCAGTTAACACAATGGGGTACA